TTTTTCTTTAAAATTTGATATTAATCGTTAATTTGTCAGTAGAAAACGAAAGGAAAGACAAGTTGTAACGAAAAAATGATGATGATGGTGAAAAGAATGTTAGTGAAGGTGAGAGACGGTGATGATACACTTAATTCTAACCCTTCCCATCATTTAATCGTTATGTGACGATCAATGATAGAAGTTAGACTAGTGTTGATGGTATTACACTTTATTCTATTACTTCATATCATACAATCGTATCGTTTACATATAAAGCACACGTTTATATACACGAGCAGAATAAAAGATGATGAAAAGAAAGATGATGAGACCAAGGAGAGAACAATGTAAGAATGACCAAGTGATGAGGCCAAGGAGATTACAATATAAGAGTGCACAAGTGACAAGGCCAAGGAGAGAAGAGATATAAATGAACAATAGAGTATGAATACATAAGTGAGAACAATGCACATAATATAAGTGTGACTGATGATATAGAATGAGAAGCACATTATAATAGAAAGAGAACAAGGTTCAATCAATGATAGATAAGAGTAACACGTTGTGGGCACTATGCACCCTTGATCATACAAGAACGCACTGAGAAAGAAAAGATATCAAATAAGATTATAGGCCTATTGGCACACAAGTTTTCTAATTGTCAACTTTCTTTTACTTTTCTTTTAGTTTTTTTTTGACCTTATTAATTTTTTTATTGATAGAACAACATTGAAAACCTAGTTCTATCTTCTCAAACACGAAAAACGAAAAGAAAAGAAAGTTTTTTGACTTTTTTTTCATTTCTCTTTGAAAAGTGGAAGTATATCAAACTATTTTCTGAATAACAAAAGTAGCATTTCTTTTACATTTACACTCACCCAAACCCACACAATGGGCATATCATTCTTACGAGATATCTTTTCTTTCTCTATGTGTTGTTATACAATCAATAATAGTTTGCATAATCGTGTTACTGTTACACTTATCTATGCATGATTGAGCCTCATTCTCGTTGTATCGTAATGTCCTTCTCACGCTTTATCTTTTTTCATTCGCCTCTCTCGTACATAATCTCGTGTGATATGTGAAATATATGCAACTAGATGATGGAGTGAACATGATACATCGAGGATAGCAGTAACGAAACATTCCATCTACAAAATTTGGCTGATGACCTTGGGTCAACCGATCAAATTAAGGATATTTTAAAACAAAATCAGATGAAGATTTCCACATAAATGTTTGGTTATGATATGACATGCATCAGTCGTCATTAATTTAATATTCATTAACACGTCAGTTATTTCATTGCAATTCATGTGTAGTTTATTTTATTTCAAACATTTAATCCTTTTCACTTTTCTCTTTTTCTTTTACCTCGTCGATACTATCAGCGAATTCAAGATAGTTTCGCTTCTTTACTTACTATATCCTTCGTTCTCTGGGCCTACATTCTTTCATTTCTTTCGTTCGTGAGATATATCATTCTTTTATACGTTCATAACTTTGTTTAGAGATCATCCGTACACTTATTGCAGTGGTATCACTAACCTATTTTCTAATTTTTATTTTCTGTGCTTTCTCTAAATTTTACTTTTTTTTCTTTATTACTGATCATCACGATGATCTCTTTCTTTTTATTTTTGTATCTATATAATGATAGACTGTTGAGAATGACCATAGGTAGGGTTCAAGCTTCTCAACTAGATATATATCAAATCTGAATCGGTTGGGTTCGGAACTGGTGAGATTCGGGTTCGAAATTCAAATAGATTTGCCACTGCGATTATTATCACGATAAGAAAATACTAGAAATGAACAAGTCACTGGTGTTAAGGTTGGCTGACAGTTCTGCCATTTCAGTTCTCATGAGACATTTTTGTAATGTAGACAATTGTGATGCATAAATATTCTATCTATACTTTCTTCCTTCTGCTATCAATTTGAAAACTTTATATCTTTCATTAAACTCAGATAGCTTATTTTATTCGCTCATTACACCATCGTTTTCACTACGCATGATATTTCTAGTGCTCTATAACGAGTCTCAGTAGGTTGAAGAATTTCAAGAAAATTCTTTTCCAATCCATACCTTTTTAGATATATTTTTATATGCATCTATCAGTGGAAATAATAAATTGGAATTTAGACTTCAAGAAAAACCGTTCCTTGGACCCATATTTAATATTTAGACGATCGCAATTCGTCACCACGGCTATAATAATTGTCTTCCACCATTAGATATGTATCAGATCCGATCGAATCCTTGAATCTGATTCGGATTTGGTATATACGTACTTTCAACCCAATTCCATGATCTCTAGGTTGAAAAGAAAATAATGAACTCAACCAAAATCCACCCAGATACTATGCACTGGAGTATGGGTCTCCCATCGACTAAGGAAAAATCAATTTCTGATATCTCTGATACCAATGCATTTGTATATGATTATAGTTTTTCAATTTTTAAGAAGAAAAAAGTAAAATAGCACATATATTGATCTGTCATTTTATCAATAGATCAGATATAAACAATAGATTTATTCTTCATCAACATGCAACTACTGTCACTTATTATTATTACTTTATTTATTCGTTTTATGTATACCTTTCATCATCATAGAATCATGACACAAGATCGTCGGCTAAATATTAGTCAAGCCAGAACAGCATGTGATCCAAATGAATATATATTATGGTATAATACAACAGTGCCGGATAATTTTCCTTTACCATTATCAAAAGATCTATCAGCATATTTATATGCACCTGATTGTGCATCTCGTTATGCAACAGCCGATACTTGGTTTGTTAGTTGGGCGGATGATGATTTATTGTATAGTGCGTTTACTGATGGAATGGTTGATGATATTACTAGTTCTAGTGGTGCAACTTATCCAAACTCAAATACTACAACTGGTCATGCTATTATTATGGGTTCAAATCCTTTGAATTTAACAATAATATCACCAGGTATTTTCGAAAGTAATACAGGACCATATACTGGTCGTTATCCATCCGGTAATCTTCATTACAATGGGGTATGGTATCAATCAACATATGGTCTGTCCGATAATGATGCACCATGTCGTAATTGGTGTGTTCAAGGTCCATTAATATCATTCCGTTATAGTGTAGATCAAGGTACTTCATGGTATGATTATAATTTACATCCAAAAAATGATGCAGATAATTTATTTAATCAATCAAGTTATAATAAACAAAAGATAAAATATGGTGCATTACATTTTGTTGATTTTGGTAAAAACCAACAATGGAGTCCAGATGGTTATGTATATTTAATTGGGCATGGTTCAAATTCATCATTTCCAGCATCATCAAATACGTCATTTCCAATAGAATCATGGAATGAAGGAGATCAAATATATTTATGTCGTGTACGATCATCAATTCAAACTATGAATGATATTAATAAGTTTGAATTTTGGAATGGAATAAAATATGTTCGTGGAAAAGATGGTGTTGACAAAGCACAACCATTATTTACATTTCCAAATAAAACTGGTACAGTGACTGCATCATATATACCAGCATTAGAAAAATATTTAATGGTTATTAGTACAGCGACCTATCCAGGTGTTGGTTCAATGGTCCAAGAATTTGATGTTTATATATTAGAATCAAATCATATAGAAGGTCCCTGGTCACTTGTCGAATATTTAAATAAATTTGGACCCGAAGCATATTTTCCAATCATACCAACTAAATTTATAGGTCAAACTCATGATATAAAAGTTTTGCCTGATGGATCATCGTTATGGCCATTTTACCTTGGATATAGTGCGAATTGTGCATGTTGTAAACCAAATCCACCACATAGTGGTTATGGTTTCTGTCTATTATCTTCTAAACTTGTCCTAACACCAAAATTTACAAACCGATTAATCCAAAAGGGATTGATTCAACCACCAACTTTCATTCATAAGTGTTACCGGCGTTGTCTTCAGATCTTTTCTTTCATGTCTTTTGTCTTTTCCTTCCTCTAAAATGTTATTTCTTTCTTCGATGTGATATCATACGATTACATCTCACCTTTCTTTGTTGTGTTCATTCTTCTTTTCGTTAATCCTAGATTTGCCATACATATGTATCAAATAATTTTTTTTTTATTTACAAGTAACGCACCTACGAAGGATGCGCGAACCCTTTTCTAAAAGAATCGTACTGTATTGTGAATTAGAAACAGTTCATTATGCTCTTTGAAGTTTACGGTCTTGAAGATAGTTGAAGATTCAGAAACCATACACTTATATTTATTTCATTCCATGAAAAGTATTTTTTAAACAGAAGAGACTACTTTTCTCTCAAGTTATATCTATTCTCTTCATTTCACTCTAGAACTCGGTTGAGGTAAATGACAGTTCTTCATGTCGCAAACTTCAATATTTTATGTATGCAGTGCTTTTCTTTTTGAGGTTGTCGATAGGCCGATAGAACTTGAAATTGTTCACCCATCGCCGAATTCTCGATCTACCGTAAAGTGTTATCCGAAATGTCGGCCTAGATGCTCGATGGCATCAAAGTAACCCTCTGATGAATTTCGATAGATTCCGATGGATCAAATTCGTAGGGTTCAAGCAGTCGGTATTCCGAACACTAGAAATTTTTATTAGATCTTTGCTAAAGCTAAATGTCGTCATGAAATATATACTTGTAACTTTGAATTTTTTTCGATTTTCTGTCAACATTTTTTCTTTTAATTTTTTTTCAACGCAATCAAGGAATATGTATTTCTGTCGTCAATGATCGATAAAAGAGTGTGGGTCTTTTCTTTACACTCACACCCATCCCACACTCTTAGATGAACATAATCTGCAAAAACCATAGAGATTGATTGAGAAGAACTCGACTAACTGAAATTTTACATATAAGAATATAACAATACAATAATTTTGGAATTCACCCATATGCATGAATATAATATATTACGTTCGTCAAAATAAAAAATACTTTGATTCTTTTTACTACCTTTTGGGGTGTTGGGTGTGGATGTAGATGTAGATCTTATCTTGAATGAAATTCACACTTGCACCCCACCCACCCTCCACACCCACAGACAAGTCTAAGTGAGACTAGCAAAAGCCTAAAACAGTTCATTCCCATGAGTGTTGGGTACCGGATTATGACTGATTTACTGAATTTCCGATCTAACATTATGCTTATAGATAGGTCTAATGACTCTTAGAATAAGTTGAAAATTTCTACCGAATAGAACGTTTCTTCACCAAGACATTGAATTTTCAAAAAATAATCGTTTACTTCAGACATGTGACAAAAATTAAGTTGACCTCAAAAGTCAATGTCTCTATGGAGAAACACTCATTCTAAGAGTCATTCGACCTACCTACAGGCAAAATTTTATATCGAAACTCCTTTATTTGGTTTTTCGGGTAGTGTCGAAAATACGTCGAAAATCTAGTGCACCAATCATAACCTGGCCCCAAAGCTGCATGATGACCAGTTCTTTTAGACTTTTGTTAATCTTTCTGAAACCTAAGTATGGGTCCAACATAAGCTCAAACAATAGATGTTACTTGGGGTAGTTTCTTTGTGATTTAAAAACCAAGAATCTTGAAGAAAAAAATAATTGTTCTTAGTTAGAAACACTTTTTTGCTACAAAAATATTTTATTCATTAGAAATCTGCATCAATAATTAATAATCAATATATTAATCATTCAATTTTATCTAAAGAAATTCAACTTAAAAAGCCGTGCCTATAAATGAGAAAAAAACCCAATCGGTATAGAAGAACATTAAAATTGTCTACGAGCTATTTTGTGACTTCCTAATATGAAACAAGTGTAAAAAACCGTGAGGGTTTTTTTTGGTTTCTTCTGTAAACAGTCCAAAAACTAATAGAACAATGATTCAGTATCTTGAGTTATTCCTATTTACTACGTGTCCACGTCAAGAATTTACACCATGTGACTATCAAATAAAAAACTACCTATATAAAAAGAATGTGAAGATAACAACCCAAGACAGAATTATTTATTTAACAAACAATCATGTCCTCAAAATACATTGCTGATGTTGAATATGATTATTTATTTAAAATATTAATTATTGGTGATAGTGGTGTTGAGTATGTATAAAATTTTGTTTTTTTTTTATTGTTAATAATTCTCTTTTATATAAAATAATATTTAACTTCGATAGAAAAACTGCAATTTTAAAACGATTTGCTCAAAGCTATTTTTCAAGTGAATATTTTGTTACTGTTGGTGTTGGTAAGAATTTTGAATAATAATTCTTATTGTTTTTCATTCATTCTTTTCTTTGAAAACTTTAACATAAAAACAAAAATAGATTTTCAAATTCGAACAGTTAATGTCGATTCAAAACGTTGTAAATTACAAGTATGGGATACAGCTGGTCAAGATCGTTTTAAATGTATTACATCATCATTTTATCGTGGTTCACATGGTGTTATAATTTGTTTTGATATAACGAATCGTGAAAGTTTTGATAATGTTGATAAATGGCTTGGAGAAGTAAAAAGACATTGCGGAGATCAACCACCTGTGTATCTTGTTGGTACAAAATCTGATTTACAATCACAACGTGTGATTCCTTATTCAACAATAAAAACATATACTGATACAAAAAATTTATCGTATATTGAAACAAGTTCAAAAACAAGTGAAAATGTTGAAAATTGTTTTATTGATTTTGCACGAACATTAGTTGCACATACTGATCAAATGAAAATAAATCATACAAGTAAACAAATAGAAAACACATCCATTGATTTAAATGATAAAACAAAACCGGTCACGACTGATGGATGTTCAGCAGGAGATAAATGTATTATTTAAATATTGATCAAGTCCTTTTATTTTGTTACATATCAGCATTCATTTAGTTAAGCAGTATGTATATGATTTTTCAGTGCTATAACTCTGCGAAGGATTTTCTATTGTGATATCTATTTATCGTTTGTTTTTAGAATTTCGTTAATAAACTAACTATATTGTCAGCAGCACAAAGTAACTAGTATAGATGCACTGCTAATAATAACTACATGATATC